GCTCTTGTTACCCAGGCTGGAGTGCAATGGCATGATTTTGGCTCACTGCAACCTCCACCACCTGGGTTCAAGCAGTTCTCCTGCCTCAGCCTCCCAGGTAGCTGGAACTACAGGCGTCCACCACCACGCCCAGCTAATTTTTGTATTTTTAGTAGAGGCGGGGTTTCAGCATGTTTAAATTTTTGTATTTTTTGTAGAGTTGGGGTTTCGCTATGTTGCCCAGGCTGGTCTTGAACTCCTGAGCTCAAGCAATCCACCCACCCCTGCCTCCCAAAGTGCTGGGCTTACAGGCATGAGCGGCTGAGCTCAGTCCAAAAGTGAGTGCTATTTTAGACAGTCTAGTCAGGGAGGGCTGCTCTGAGGAGGTAATGTTTGAGCAGAGACCCTAAGAAACTTGCCTGGTGTTTACTTGGTGTCTTTTACATTTAGTTTGATACTGATGGACATTGTGTGGACCAGAGGCAGGGATGGTTGGCTATGACCCCAAACCAGATGGCAGGAATAACACCAGGTTCCAGGTGGCAGTGGCCGGGTCTGTGTCTGGACTTGTCACTCGGGCGCTGATCAGTCCCTTCGACGTCATCAAGATCCGTTTCCAGGTACTCTTCCCCTTTTTCCATGCAATGGACTGGAGGACAAGTTCAGTCGTCCTTGCCAAAGCAGTTCCTAAAACTTGGAATTCTATCCACATGAAGGCCTCACCTTTTCTGAAAGTTCCCCTTCACATTCCAGCCCACCCTGCTGTCCTGACCTTTTCAATTTTGATTCCTAGCTTCAGCATGAGCGCCTGTCTCGAAGAGACCCCAACGCAAAGTACCATGGCATCCTCCAGGCCATTAGGCAGATTTTGCGGGAGGAGGGGCCAACAGCTTTCTGGAAAGGACACATCCCAGCCCAGATTCTCTCCATAGGCTATGGAGCTGTCCAAGTAGGTGGCAGGGGACCTGGCCAGACCTCTGGGGTCTCGTTGCTCAATGGAGGAGCAGAGGGAGGGTGATTCACGTGGGAATGGCGTGTAGGGCAGGACGGGAGAGGCGGGCCCCGCACTTCCCACTGGCCTCTCCTGACCAGTGGAAAATGTCAGAGTGAGCTGCTATGCCTTAGGCATTCCCCTCCCCCACATCCCCTCGTCTATCCTGCATGACTTAGGTGTTGCATCTTGGAGACTGATTTGATGTCATGCCTTCTGTGGGGCTTGGGACAGCATTAATGTATTTCAGTTTTTGAAGTACCACCTTCACACATGTGGTTCATCTGAACTTCACCGCAGTGTGGTGAGGAGGGTAGAGCAGGTGTCATGTGGATCTCAGGAAGGTGAAATCAGCTGTCTGAGGCCACACAGCCTGCACATGGCAGGTCTAGAGTTAGAACTCGGGCTTCACTCAGTGGAGCACCGGTATAGTCATAGTGCACAGCGTGTGGTTTTATGCAATAGACGTGGTAAGAACCAGCCCTGAACAGTGCCAGCCATGGGCCAGGTCCCTGTTGGAAGCACTTCACATACACTCTGTCACAGCAGTCCTTAAGGCAGGGGCTGTGTCACTCCCATTTCACGCATGAGAAGACTGAGGTGGACAGAGCCATACCCTGTCTCAACAACAACAAGAAAAGATGCTAGGCCATCTTCACTTGGCTGAAGGAAGATCTGAGCATAGCCCTGGTGCAGTGGCTCATGCCTGTAATCCCATCACTTTGGGAGGCTGAGGTGGGAGGATGGCTTGAGCTCAGGAGTTTGAGACCAGCCTGGGCAACATAGAGAGACCTCCTCTCTACTAAAAATTAAAAAAAAAAAAAAGCCAGGTATGGTGGTACATGCCTATAGTCCCAGCTATTCCAGAGGCAGGAGAATCATCTGAGCTAGAGAAGTCAAGGCTGCTGTGAACTATGATCGTGCCGCTGGACTCCAGCCTGGGCAACTGAGCAAGACCTTGCCTCAAAAAACAAAACAGGGTCAAGTGCAGTGGCTCATGCGTGTAATCCCAACACTTTGGGAGGCCAAGGTGGGCAGATCGCTTGAGCTCAGGAGTTTGAGACCAGCCTTGGCAACATAGTGAAACTCTGACTCTACCAAAAAATACCAAAATTACCTGGACATGGTGGCATGCGCCTGTAGTCCCAGCTACTTGGGGGGCTGAGGTAGGAGGATTGCTTGAGCCCAGGTAGGTTGAGGCTGCAGTGAGCCGTGTTTGTGCCACCGTACTCCAGCCTAGGTAACAGAGTGATACTTGTCT